TCTTCCTCACTATGAAAATAGGTTGCTTCTGTTGTCCTTACCTAACGTAGGTTTGTTCTTGGCGTTTCCTTTGTAATCAAAGTAATAAATGGCGCTATTGACTCGCCTTCATCACTTGGTGAAAGAAGCTTTGATGTCCCTAAGCGCTTCACTAGGCACTTTACCTTGGTTAAGCTTAGTCAGTGTAAATATAATTATGAACTGTTTAATCCGCTCAGAGGTGTTTGCGAGAACCTAAACGACCTGTAGTGAAAACACAATTAAAGGTTCGTTTGAATAATTCTTTATTATGATGCTTTTACTTCTGGCTTACTATTTTACTATTATTGATTTTACTGACTTTAGTCAGTAATTTATATAATAGCTTATTATGCTAACTTAACCAAAATAGTGGAATTAAACTAGGCTATTACTAAAGTTACATGTAAAGCTAGATTGCATTATATTAATTAGGTCATAGCTCGACTTGCGGTATGTGCAAATATGTCGGACAGATCTTAGCTAGGTTATAGCTACGTCTACATTATGTGGAAATATAATAGAGTGTGAACTAAACGTAAGTGATTATTGAATGGGTAGATGACGATAAATCGATAATGCTACACTTTTCCTCTTGGGAAGAATAATCTTTAACATTAAATGATCATTCTTGGGTTTAGTGATTATCGATTAATTCAGTTACTTCCTCTACCGTGGTTTTGTTATGAATGCATGTTTTTTCTTTGTTCTTATAGATATTTTTATAATAAAAAAAAAATTACAAAAAATTTTGTTTGTATAGGGTTCTTATACATACTTATATATTAAAGAAAAAAATTTTTTTGTGTAGTTTTTATTTATATTTATTTTTTTTTTTTTTATGAAGCTTCTTTATATAGTTTTAACCTGTTTTTGTGTATTATTTGATTTTTTTTTTATTATCTTTAATTTTAATGTTGTTGTTATCCTTAATTTTTACGACTTTATACGGTCCTAAATACTTATTGTGTAACTTATGCCCTACTTCATTTCTTTGTAAGACTAGATTGCCTACTCCTAGTGGGAAATTCTTAGTTTTCCTGTCGTAATTTATTTTTTGTTTTTCTTTTTCCTTATCTAATAGTATCCTAGCGCACGCGTATGCTATATCTAATCTATATTTGGTCTTTTTAGCGTAGTCGTCTATATTGTATTGTGGCTCAATGGTTTTGTTGTGATTTGTCAGTTGTGTTGGTGGCCTTGCAAACACTAGTTCATAGGGACAGTATTTATGTGTTGTGGAAGGTGTTGTGTTGAAACAATATTTTATCCAAACATCCTAATCATTCAATTCAGGCGATACATATGAACGGATGTATTCATTTAATGTTCGGTGGTTACGTTCCACAGTGCCGAGTGTCTGATGATGGTGGTCTGTTGATGTTACGTTGTCAATTTTAAGGTACTTACATAGATCGTTCGTTAGTGTTTTTTTGTATTCGGTTTCTTGATCCGTTACGAGTGCTTTCATGGGTCCGTAGTTTAGTATGAAATTTTCGAAGATTGCCTTTGCTACGGTTTTAGCACTTTGATCTGTGACCGGAATTGTTATTAAATATTTGGTAAGATCACAGATTAGTGTTATCGCATATTCGTTGCCTCTTTCGTCTTTGGTAATGAGCCGATGGTGTCAACTACAACTGTGTCAAAAGCAGTTGCTGGTGTTGGTGTTAGGATTTTAGGAGTTTTGGTATGTGTTGCGATTTTAGCCTTTTGGTATAGTGAACATCCTTTGACATGCTTAGCTATTGTTCTTGTCATTTGCGGCCAGTAATAGTACCTTCGTATTTTCGAGAAGGTACGTGTAATTC